ACTCTGATTTATGTCGATGACATTCTCTTGAGACAACCAACTCTGGAGGAACATCTGACAGAAATAGACCACGTTCTAAACCAGTTAACTGCTGGTGCCAAGATCTCACTGTCAAAATGCCAGTGGTGCAAAACTAGAGTGGACTACGTGGGCCTACTAGTAGGTCCTGAGGGAGTGCAACCACAACTTAGTCGCACCCAAGGCCTAGACAACCTCAAAACTCCCTCAAATCTCAAAGAACTACAGAGTTTTCTAGGTGTATGTAACTACTCACGCCAATTTATAGGAAACTACGCAGATCTGGCAAAACCACTGACTGAACTGTTAAAAAAAGGACGTTCCATTTGTCTGGACTGACAAACGGCAACAGGCAATGGACGCCCTCAAAGACAACCTAAAATCCGCCCCATATCTGGCTTACCCAGACTACAACAAAGACTTCCATTTGAAAGTGGGCTTCTCAGCTCACTGCCTAAGTGCAGGTTTGTACCAAATACACGACAAAGACAAACGCGTGGTGGCCTACGCCAGTAAAACAATGGCAGGCCCTGAGCTAAAATACTCAGACTGTGAGAAGGCCCTACTGACCACTGTGTGGGCAGTAAAACACTTCTCTAACTACGTAGGCGGACAAAAAAATCATTGTGGAAACACAACATCAGCCAGTGACTTTCCTAAACAGCCAACGCATCAGAGATGGTGTAGTGACAAACTCACGTGTAGCCATGTGGTTCATGGCACTACAAAGTTTTGACCTAGAAATATGCTATGGACAAAACAAAAAAATCACATCTGGGAACCAACTTGGCAATCTGCCAAAGCTGTACACAAGATGTACCAGCAACACAAATGCCAGTCGACAAAAAACCCCAAGTAAGTGAGGATCTAAATCATCACTACTTTGATGCTAACATCTGTAAAGACATGACTACAGTGTATGTGGATGGATGCTCATTCCACCACGACAAAATCTGCAAAGCTGGTGTTGGAGTGATCCTACTCCAAGACCAACAACAAGAAACTTTTAGTTTCAAACTAGGCTCTCAGTCCTCTCAGTACGCTGAGATCACTGGTATCCTAGTAACCCTCCAGATCGCAGTAGAACGCTCAATCCAAACGCTAGTCATCTGCACTGACTCAAACTATACCCGCATTCTCCACCATTTGTAAGGGTTCAACTTACACTTCTAATAACAAGGTTATAAGAGTAATTTAATTAGCAAGGGATCACTTTTATTTTGGGTAAACATTTCTTTAGTGCAAGAATGAATGGGCACAAGAAGTGACTCTCAGTCAGTGAATGTTGATTTGAACCATGATATGTGATCATTTATTTTACAAATCATACAAAATTGATTAGAGTACACTTGATTGTGAACAATTAATTTCCTATAAAAGTTTTGGGACCAACAATAACAAGCTTTTAACTACTTAATTGTTAACCACACTTAAATAGAAACACAAACATCAGATTAGATGTTAAATACCAGACATTTGAGGCAAGTTATCTTAGGGTTGGCAAGGAAGAGTTTAAGAAAAAAGGGTGGAAGAAAGATGTTAGCCTTCTTATACTTTATCTTAAATAATGTGGGTTTTAACCAGAAGGGCGAAGCGTTCTATACTCAGCTTCAGTCAGACAGCGAGGTGACACACAGCCAGCTTTTACCTTGAGATGATGTTCTGTCACCTGCCAGGTATGTTGGGGGCTTCTGCTGAGAGAATCCATTTAGGACAGTCCACCAGAGTGACCCAGGCGTGTAGGTCTACTCGCTTTACCATGTCAGCCATAGAAGAAGGCAAAGCCTCGACTGGAACCCAGGTTGTAAATAAAACTTCCGTCTGGAGAGTTTCTGAAGGTGGATAAACCAGGCGTGGTTTTCCACACTGTGAG